TCACAGTGGTTGGTGTAGTTACTACAACTGTGTCACCACAGAAGTATGGAAGGAAACAAGAGGCAGAGAGACAGAGCACCACTCAGGAGGAATCCAAGCAGGAAGCTGAGAAGACAACCACACCTCTTCCCACCACATCAACCACCACAGCACTGGTTAGCACTGAAAGATCAACAAGCATCAGGTTTACTGACAAGAAGCAATCCAGGCCTGCCTTCGATGGAAAGAAAAGTTCAAAGGCAATGACAAATGGAAACAAAAAGCAGGCTGGGGAGATAAGCAAGAAAGGTGAGGAGACAAAGCAGACTAGGGAGATAAGCAAGAAAGGTGAGGAGACAAAGCAGACTGGGGAGATAAGCAAGAAAGGTGAGGAGACTTCATTGAATACAGCAGGTCTGGCTGAGCAAAATGTTACTGTAAAAAACCTAAGAGTGATCAGTGAAACTGATGAAAGAGTGACCTTAACTTGGAAAACTGTCAATGCCACAAGCAACTCTGCAGTGACTGTGTTATACTCAAAGTATGGTGAGAAAGATATGTTGCCTCTGAGCACTGATTCTAGCAAAAGCAAAGTCACAATTGATGGTTTGGAACCTAGTACTCAATATATGGCATGTGTCTCACCTAAAGGAGTGCCACCTACAAAAGAGCAGTGCATTATTTTCTCCACTGATAGGTTAAATGATGAAAACAGCTCTCAGTTTTCTATTCTGATATTGGCCAGCAGTGCAGCATGTGTGGTTGTTTTACCTTTGATATTTTTCTTACTCTACAAAGTTTTAAAACTTCATGTGAAACCAAAAACTGCAAAGGAAGCTGACCTGTCAAAAGAGACCTACGTGAAATTTGAAACACTATCTCTGAAGCCTCGAACAGTAAATGCAGGAGAGCAGCGCTGGGCACGAAGGTACACAGATGACTCGGAAAGACTTCTCCTTTGTTCTAGGTCAAGCATGGATTCTCAAATGACCTTCAAAAGTGAGGGCTCTAGGTCTGAGTATCTGTGCTGAACGTGGGTGAGGGTGGAAGAGATGGAATATATAATAGGTAAAATTAATCCAAGATGGTGATACTGCCTCTGGAAGCAGGTTGGTGCTAGGTGGTGGTCAGAATATATTATCTGATGTAATGCAGTCTACTGGATGGGTAGGGTGGTGGGTAGGAGGGAGAACAGAAAAAAATGTTGCCTGTTTATTTTCTTTTTTTATGTTTGTGACCTTGGATGTGAAGGAATGATGTTCTTGAAAAGATAAATACAGCATGAAATGGTTGCCTGGTTAAAAATCTTCTATTTTTTGTTTTCATTGAAACATCATTCTGTTTTCTCTTCTCTCATTTTACTGTATGATGTGCTAGTTGCATGTATCAAACATTAATCACAACCTTCATAAAAACTATGTACTTAAAAATAATAGGAAAACAGTTTAAACTACTTCTATTGAGGTCAAAACTTTATTTGAAAATACAGGTTTTCTTCTGACATCAGCTTGTGCTTTGAGATGTCATACAGCTCTGTTTGTACAGTATCTTGGACTGGAAGTGATCTCAGGTCAATCAAGACTGAAACTAGGTAGCCACGGCTTATTACCTCTTGAGAAGTACAATACACATCATACAGTCATTTTGCAGATGATATGGCAAAGGGGCTTCTTTAGTATTCTGAAGCTCAGGTAAGATACCATTATGAGTAACTCTGGGAGAGATACTAGGTATTAATAATGTTAATTTACATCACATGATTGTATTGCAAAATCTCAGCCTTAGAATTTACTTGGATGCATATGTCTATATACCTCAATTTCAGAAATCTCTGTACAGAAAATTTTGTGGTAGTGTAATACAACGTACACTCTCATATACCTATATATTACATAGATATCCCACAATATTATATACTACACTGTAGTAATATAATACAATTCGAGGTGCAGTAAGAGGAGTTCTTGTCCTCAGGTCATGTTGGATGTGTAATGAAGTTTAATGAGCATAGTGAAAGTTAATTGTAAGCATGCTTCCCAGTGTTTAAAAAATAAGGTATTAATAGTAACAATGAATACAGAATTGCCTATTAATGACAATAATGAATTGTCTATTCTGAGGCTACTTTTTTATTGCCTGAAGTAAATAGCAGAGCTTTTATTGGTTTAGGTTCAGATATTATGGTTAGGAGTAAGTATGAATTGAGAACCACAGTTTTTCCTAAAAATTAAAACTGCATTGTTTTCTTGGATCTTTCTATGCCTAGAAGAACCGTTTGTTTTGCTAGAAAATTGGGAATCTTCTCTTTCCAGAGGGAGAAATATTACTCAAAGCTACAAACCAAAACTTAGTTAGTTACCTTTAAAATAGTGGCATTTCTTGGTGTCACCAGTATAGGATTAAATTTTGCCTGATGGAATGCTAGAGAGCTTATCTTGTAAGGGATAGCTGGGTGAGAGGAAAACACTTTGTCAAAAAACCTTCAACATAAAATCATGGCAGAAAATGAACACATTGAAAATTCTCCATAGCATCTGCATGATGGTGCTCGATGGTCAGGAATAATAGAATGAGTATCTGAGACCATGGGAGCTGTAGTAAGGGAGCAGGTGAGATGTTCAAAAGTGCAAAATTAGCTTACCTGCATATGCTTTTAGAATTAACCTTGATGTTCCTTTCTGCGTTACTTGTATGTGTGGTTAAAAAGTGATCATTCTTTTTTTTCCGTGGAAAATTTTGATTGCAGTGCAAACGTTTTTAGTTTTCTGAGTGGAATATTTTTACTTTGGCAGTTTTTTTGAAATTTGGGATTGTTTAGGGAAAGCAGATTCTTTTTGTGTCAAAACCAAGGTTCATCTGACAAGCAGTTTATGATAAACTAAATTTTTAACAGGACTTGAAGTGTTACAATATTTGCCTTCTATTTTCCATATAGATAGTGTAGCCAGTAGTTGTCGCTGAAGGTGTTTCCAATTAAAAATACCATGTTTGTCATTAATGAGAGCAATTATTTTAACATTTATTTTTTAACTCTTGGAGAATATTTGATTTCAGGTTTCAAAACTTTGCAAGAAACTTTAATGCTGGAGTTCAAAAATGCGGTCACCTGACTTGTAGGTGATACATCAATATATCGGACTGAGGTGGTGCAAAGCTCATTTGAGAGAGCTCACTTGCAAATGTGAAACCTTTTGGTTTGATTAATCCTTGTGGAATTAGCATGTCCTAAAGTTAGACATTAATCTGTATGACCACATGTGCTGTCAGTATATCAAAGATGGAATGTATTATAAAGGGCATGTTCTTTCAAGAAAACATGAAATACATTGTATTTTCCACGGTTCTTGAGACAAGAGTTATATAACCTGGACGTGCTTCTGTACCTCACGTCAAAACAGCAAATTTGCTGGGGAATTTCAATAGGAATTTGATACAAAAGCCAAATCACACAATAAAGACAAGTACCCTGCATCACCCAGGATTGGTTTAATTAAAGAGCTGAAGAAATACTTCTGGTAACAGATGCAAATTTTTATATTGTAAATTGCTAATATTAATGATAGAATCATTATGAGATAGATTGTGTCACCCATAATAAATTTGTATAATATCTTCAGAAATGCAATACTGAATCAATGCAATACTATAAACAGTGATGACTATAATCTATGCTTGGCTGGTAGGAGAATTTGGAGAGGATTGAACCAATGTTTATGCATCGCCTTTCATGTATTTTGCACTTTGTTAGCTCGATTCATCCTGCATTTCACCAAAAAGGTTAGACTTCTTTTTATACATTACCTTCAATGGATGTGTCAAAATTGGATGGTTAGTATATAACTGAGTAACGTAAGCTGAATTCCAAACAGACCTCATTTTTACTTAAAGCTTTAGTGGGCTTCAGCACTTGTCATAGTTAACCAGAATTCTGGCTTCAATGTACACTTACTAAGCCAAACTTCAGGCATCCATGCATCTATTTTAGTCCTTGCCATTGCTCACAGTGGACTTTGTATTCCTTGCACTATCATTAGATTCTCTTACTTTTCTCAGGTGGGGGATTAAGAGAGAAAACTCTTTCATGTGTACCATGAAAATGTCTGTAATAGCAAAAACATTCAGACTTGGGCTATATCTAAGAGGGTAAACAAAGGACATTTTAAACTCATTACCTTTTCAAAGAAGTAATTAAAATAAATGTTGTTTTGATGTGAAAATAAAAGATTGTTTTTATGCATGGCTGTGTGTTTGCCTGACACTTTCATCTTTTTTTTATAGCTTTAGACTATATGTGATGAGTGTAGCTATGGGGACAAGAGGAAATCTGAGAAGAAATGAGAGAAAATACAAAAAGAAGGCAGAGAAGCAGTGGACGGGCAATATCCTAGAGAATGTTGGGACTGCGTGCCACCAAATCTTTTGCTTGAGATTCTGCTATGTACATGGCAAGGGTGCTGGGGTGTCTGCAGACAGGTAGCTATAAAAGGATGGATGAAGATACTGCCAGTTTATTGCAATGAGTGGAGCTCTATACATGCCCAGTTTCGACAAGGTGGGGGCAGCTATAGAATTGGAGTGTGGAACAAAGGCGCTAGGGGAATTTGAAGAAGGTACTTGAAGCTGGTCTTAAAGCCTGCCTGTGTCCCAGTGAAAGTTGTGAGAGCTTTTTGAAGAACATTGCCTATAAACTGAAAAGGGGAGAGTGATTTTATGCATTTATTACAAGAAAGAGGGGTATGCATCAGCAGCAATTCTGGCTAGGGTGTGAATCCTAGTCATAATATACCACAGTAGTCCATCATGATCTATGATTTTCTTTTAAAAACAACCAATTCATTAGGTTTGTGGCTGGGAGGTAGACCAACTTGAATTTCCTTCATAAAGACAGATGAGATTTCAAAATGAACCTTTTTTTAAATTATCTAACTGGGTGTAGACTGGAAACATGCTGACCTGCATGCCCTCTCTCACAGAATTCATTACATTGTTCTAGGTATTACAGTCAGAAGCTCCAGGCTAGCACTGTCACTTTCCTGTGTTGAAAATTAGTTTTCAATAGAATAGGTGCCTTCTGTTTTCTTTTTAAACCACTGAAAAAATTTTCATCTGAATTTCAGAAGATCAAAATTCACATCAGACTGGAGGCATGATTAATGTGTAACTTTTATAAACTATTTTTTACAAACCTGAAAGGCTCCCTTGCTAAACGGTGGCAAAATCAAGCTGAAATATCAGTCTGAAATAGCCTATAGCATGGAGAGAATTCTTTTTACAAAGCTGTGTACATTATTCATCAGTGTTCAGGATGGGAATCTTTTCAATCAGTAAGGCAGAAAGCAACTATGAACAAAAGGATATTGTCTTTCCCAAGACCTAAGTAAAAAAATAGGCGCTTTTTTTTGAGTTTCTATTTTTTATGGAATAACATCCTAACCTTGTGTTAAGAAAAGAATGTGAAATTGCTCCAATTATTGCAGCAAGTTCAGTAGCACCTGTCAGGTATGTATTTTAAATACATTTGGTCTAACTTAAGGTCTGGTATTTTTGAAAGACACTTGATTGGCTGAAGAGTGTTATGAAAGGAGTTGACTGTACAAACAACTATAACTTTAACCTCTCATAATAGTGGAATACCAGTTTACCCACAATGTTTGAATTACTACATTTTGGAGAAGATACTCTGACAAGAAAATCTATTATTCTAAAACGTGATGAGTGATCAAATATTTGGCACATCTTTTTAAGGAGTCGTTGAAGGAATTTGGTAGTGGTGTGGGGGTTTTGTTTTGTTTTGTTTTTTATGGAACTAAGGTGACTGAGAGAAGACTTGGTGACATACTTCATGTCCAGAGAAGGCTAAAATGGAATGTGTTTTCTTCTTCTCTCTTAATACAGGAGAAAGGAGCTTTATGTATGTGTGTATTGAGGGCGGGAATAGAGTATTGCAGTGTTGCCTCAGACAGAGTTCAAGTAGTTTCTTCTGAGGCCTCTGGTATGGGCTGCTGGTACTTGAGACATGCTACTGGACTAG